GCAAAATCTAAGTGATTTCAAGTCTCTTAGGGTGCGGCCTCCAGCCTTTGTAAGGAGCCTTCAGATGCAGTGCTTATTTGCTCAAGGGTTGTGGATGCACTGGAAGGTGTCGACTTGACGCCGTATGTTTGGAACCGGCACAAGTGCTATTCTTCTGCGAGCTGCTGCACAGGCAAAGGATTCAGAGCCTGTCTGGAAGGCCTCACAGCATGGTGTACAAACTGGCCACACCAAGTAGGACATCGGCTGAGGTCTCCGCAAGGTCTTGCTCGGCATGCACGGCGGGAAGCTCGACTTTGCACTGACTGCGATGACCACACGGTACCAATCAAGCCTCTGTCCAAAGGCATGTGCAGAACTCTTGACAAACGCATTCAGAGGGATGGAGCAGTTTTTGGCATGAGCCTCACACATTGAGGACTCCAGCTCATAAGCTTTCATGTGCCGAGATATCAAAGAAGGTGCTCGAGGCTTGGGCACGGCCACGTCACAACGCAGGTGGTCGATCTTGCCAGGCTTTAGTCATCGCCCACACTGATACCATGGTCTGCTTTTCACAGCTGTGGGTAGTGTTTTAAAGAGTGCAAGATCTTGCTCGGCATGCTCGACGGAACGCTCAACTTGTCCTGCTTGCAATGGCCAGGCGAGGTTGGGGCCACAACTACCCCGACTAGCTCGAACAGCCGCCGCTTAATCAAACTCTCATTTCCACCGGAACAAGTTTAAAAGTCACATTCCAAGGCCCTGGAAAGACTTGCGACCACTCCTGCTGGTATGCTGGAACATGCCAGGACAGGTCTTCCAGCCGAAGCAGCGTCTAGAGCTGTAGTCTGCAGCATTCAAGCCTTATCCATCTGCGGGCTGCTGGACAGGCAAAGAAGGATTCAGAGCCTGCCTCGAAGGCCTGGCAGCAGGAGGTGCAAAACGGCCACACCAAGCAGGAAATCGGCTGAGGTCCTCGTTGGAGCCTTTGAGCGACTGGACACGAAGCCGCGCGTTTGATCAAGTGGATCGAGCATTTCCAGTTGTTGTTGCTAAGCTCTTTGGGGCCTCACAACTTGAAGGCTCCAATTCAAAAGCAATCATCTGCAGTGTGCTCGAAGCTTGGACAGGGCCTCACTGAGTATGTCGTGGACACAGAAGCAGTCAAGCGAAGACGTTGATTACTTGTACTGAAGGAGAGGGACTGCCTTGTTGCTTCAAATTCCTAGCCGTCCTAGCCTAACTTACCAAGCGCGAGCCGTTTCCTCATAGGTTGACATGAAACAGACCAGGGTTGCAGAGTCCGGAATGAATCAATGCGTGCTTGGCCAGCGGATGATGCCAAACATGGACAAACCAGGGGCAAATCTGTAGCTTACTTGATAAGCCAGGTTGCTTGCAACACTTGATTGAAGCAGCCATGTTGGTAGGTCTGTCTTCTCCACGAGCAGCGCTCTGTGTGCATGGACGCTGCTGCCGCAAGCAGCTTCATCGTCAGCGGTCGCCGCAACGGCAACTCTTGGTAAACGCTCGCAGCCGCCAACAGGGCCCATGGCATGCTTCTGCAGCTATGACTTCCAGAATCAGCGCTTGCAGGACTCCCGTGAGCATCTGAGGCTCGTCTAGCGTCGACCCCCAGCAGCTTCTTCTGATGCTGTCTTGTTGAAGGTGAACTCGCAGCTTAACTCCGATAAACCACCTTTTTGGACCTGAGGGACCTTCAGTATGCAGAATGCCTAGGGGCCTAGACAGCTGTACATGTACAACTTCGGCAGCTGCCAAGTCTTGCAAATCTTGATCCTGAGCTGTCTTCACAGGCAGCTGCCAGTCTTCTCTGAGAAGTGCGCAGGTGGCGGTGGCTGCATGAACAAAAAAGCCCCAGATCGATGCAAGGGTGTCTCCCAAGACCAGGGCATCTTTGATAAAAGCAGTCGACCTTTGCAACTGTGCTGGCTGGTGCTGAAGTCAGTGGCTCAATGGACGAGCGATGACCTGAATCCTGCTCACATGACAGCAAGCCTGGCAAACGTCGGACACGTTGAGGAGAGCGCGCTTGTGCTGTTGCTGACTCTCACCACGGTAACCCGGGTCCATTGCTTGAGGTCAGAAGCACACTGGGAGGGAACACGCAACACACACAGAACGCAATGAGGTCGATCGAAGACTGGCCTTACCTAGCTGCCAGACACAGTCTGACTATGTGCAAATACGCGGCGCATGACCTCGCCTGGCTTGTGCGCTTGGTGCCCGTATGTGCCCATCCTGCGGTGGGCACAACGTAGCACGAGTCCGGCAACATGGTAAGTTAAGAAGGTTAAGCGGACAACGGCTGTTGCAAGGCACAGAACACCAAAGTGGCTGCTCTTTGACCAGAGGCGCGAACCCCAAGCCCAAGCGCCCTTAATTTGGCACGTGCTGGACGTCGTGAATAGACGTCTTCGGCTTCTGCAAGGCGCACACGACGCACACGACGCACACGACGCACACCGGGAGCCACAAACTGCAACCGAGCCCACCAAACCGTCCAAGGGGAGCTCACAAGCATTGCTGGGGCTTGGTACCTTCTTGGCACCAAGGCTTCAAGCAACATTGAGATGGGCACGTCAGCTCAAAGGACCACGTCGGTCGAGTGCCGATGAAACGATACTGTCAACCGAGTGGCGACCGCTGTACAGTGCTTTACTGCAGTCATCCTTGGCGCTACCACAGTGTCAGCGACCACCGTTGGTGCTTTCCGACGCAGATGACATATAGCTTGTGGCAATATGGACAAAGGCCTTGGTGCGGAACATTGCACAGGTGGAAGGAAATCTCTCACAGCAACGACCAACACATCATCAGCAAGATAAGAGGATGCCTAGTGAAATGCCACATGCAACCAGACATTGTTGTTTCAACGAGAGCCACCCAGAACCATTCCAGACGTTGCCTTGCAAACTAAATATGCTTAGGAGCGCCTGGGAAAATGTGGCACCACTTCGCAAGTCTCTTGCAACAGAGTGGGAGGAGGCATAAGGAGGCAAACTCCCAACTCACATGGGCCCATCTGCAGACTGCTCACTCGAGGACCCACAAAGAACACTAAGAGCCTGGTCGAGAGCTCGCTGCGAGCGCAGAGTTGTGCAAGGTCTTAATGAACTTAATGGGCCAAATGTCAAAATAGGTCTACCGTCATGCGCAAAGCAAGCGTTCGTGCTGTTGCATGGAGCCAGGTCTAGCCAGCCGCGATTCTTGCAGTGCATCCTCATCAACAGGGCCTCCTTGCAGAAACTTGGATTGAAAGCTCCCGACCTCAAGTCAGAATGGACGAGTGGAAGGCACGTCAAGGCAACTCTTTGGTTGACAGCAATGCTTCACAATGGTCAGAAGCATGCAATGAGAAACCACGGCCCATGGACGTTCGCCCCCGCATTAGATGGCAATTCTGCAGATGGAGCGAGTCACGAGTCACGAACTTGACACAATGTTCAAGCTGCCACTGACCATGGTGCAGCTAATGCAACAATGGCACCAAAGCGGCAGATTCCTTTCTCAAAGCTGACTTGAGAAGCTAGTGGCCTGTGCCATCACCTGGGACAGGCACAAGCTGCAGGATGTGCTGAGCGAAAATGGTCTTCATTTACACATGTTGTGCTGTTGTTCAACAAGTGGCGTGGAGCACTGGCAGAGCGAACAGGGACTGAACTGCAGGTGTTCTGACAAACCTTAAGCCCCACACTACACATCCGAATTCATATGAATTCATCCGAAGATTGCTCATCACGAAACACGCAGACGCCGTACCATTCGCACCATTCCAGACACGCTCTTAGGGTGTCTTAGACAGAAGATTCGAGCAGGTACGCAGTGCGTCTATGTCAGAGTCATGACCACAGTCAGCTGAACTGAAAGGTTCTCTTTGTGGTGTGCAGATGCAGGTATGCTGTGGTTTCTTCAAGGCTCCTCAGAACGGACCTAAAAGTTGAGGGCCTGGATTCCTTGGATCTTCCACAGGAATTCATCAGCGCCGCAATCGCGCAGGGAGTGGAACGAGGCTTCTTGGAGACCTAGCCGCACCTCCGAAACATGGACTGCTTCCGTCCCTTCAATTTGACACTCGCATGGTCGTCAGGTCAGCTCCACTGTAGCCCGCACCAAGAGCGGTTGAAGTGGAGCCATGGCAAGGAAACTGCACAGGTCTCTCAGCAAAGCAATGTCTTGACACTGGGGATGTTTCACTGCATACTCTTCAAACACCTATTTGTACGGGCCGCAAAATTCCATGGCTGACCAGCATGCTGTGACTTGAAGCCCTGAAGCATTGCCCACGAATGTGGGAAGCTCCTCATGATAGTTTCACAGTCTCCCACTTTGCGACCGCTTCGCCACAATTAGTCAGGTCACTCGGGAGCAGTGCGCTAAGAGCTCGGGTGCCCGCTTTGGAAGCTACTGGCTGATAAGTCTCCGGTCTCAACCGCACAAGAACATATCCGCTGACTGCTGCTGGAGCTCAAGCATCTCTAGCCTACGACGCTAGTGGTCACTAGCGAAGAGCTGCGCTTTGGATCGATGCCATTGGCTGCTGACCCTCAGCCTATGAGAAACACCCGTCGCGGTGCAGGTGTTGAGCCATGCATCAGCCCATGCATCAGCCCTTCGCAGCAGGCGGAGCGTGGTTGAACATGCAAGACACGAACCTGCTTCTACACAGGATCCACAGGCATGAATCTGTCTCTTCGCGGCCTGCCACAGGGCTGTACCCCCTACGAAAGCCTCCCATGTTATCAACCCTCCCCAGCTTCCGTGAAGCTAAGCCCGAGCTAATTTCTCTCGAAGACGCTTGCGAATACATGCGTGTGAGGTGTAGAGGCCCTCCACGCTTTGGTGAGGTGGCAGAGTGGGAAGAGCAAGTGCTAGGGCACATGCTAGTGACGAAGTGCTAGACACCATGCACGCAGTGAATCACGTGCTCAGCGTTCAGCGGGGTGGCCATGGGTGGGGCCATGGGTGGCCATTTAGCGACCTCTCTGGAGTAACAAATGCTGCTTCCTGCAGAGCTTCGCCCCCAGCAAAGGCGCTTCGAAGAGTTGACCATCCAGACTGGGGGAGAACATCAGGTCGTAGTCACCATTCAAGCCTTGCAGCTTCTGCTTCGGACAGCCGAGAGCCAACATGCACCATCCTTGATGTACACATGCAATCGCCGATGTATTGGCCAAGCCAGCAGGAAGGAACAGGTGACACTCCTCATGCCGGAAGAAAGCTGCCGCAGGTACTCTTGGCGAGGAGCTAATTTGAGTGCACTGCTTGATGGCGACAGCAATGGTGCTAATGACACTGTCGAAGAGAAGTTCCGACTGGGACGATGACTGAAATGTCAGTTGAAATGCTTTTGCCCAGGCGGCATCTCAAATCATACTTCTGGGGTTCAGGCATCGTTGCATGCCATTGCTGCTCTGCAGGGGTAGGATGATTGACCAGCCGTCTTGCCATCGCTTGGTCTCAAGCAAACTGACCCTAAGCTTCCAGCTTGCGAGGGATGTGAGGGACTGAAGATTCCTATGTGGGTCATGTGGTGCAACTGCACAAACAGCAGCATGAATCATGGACATTCAGCACCAGCTCGGTGCTCTCTGTGAACACCGGCCAGGCACATTGCTGAACGCGGAAACAACTGCACCGAGGGAAGCGGCTGATGAAACCGCCCACCATTCTGGGATTCGGAACTAAGTGTGAAGCTGGCTTGGCCGCTCCTCAGGCATACAGCCCTGGAGCGCATGCCAAACGGGCGTTCAACCTTCCAGGGCTCTGTGATTCCTTGTGCGTTGGAGGCAGAGACGCTTCATCACCGCCTTCTTGGCAACGTGTCAGGAGACCCCTCATACCCCCAAACGGCCCGAGTGTAGCACCTGGGAAGTCTTACGTCCTAAGCGTACCAGCTGCACCAGCACCTGTCTTCACATAGCACTTGTCTTCTTTTCCCGAATCACTCAACTGACATAAGTTGCGGCCCTGACACCCTGACGACCCCTTGGAACACAGGAAGCGGCAGCTTGGCCCTCCTTCCCAAACGTTGCGCGCAGATCGCAGCAGCAATGTGGGTCAAGAAATCCCTTATGAGATTCTCCATCCTGAGCCAAATGGCCTCCGTGCACATATTGAGCACCTCTGTTTAGGACTCAGATGTGATGCCGCACGTGAGGACTAGAAGGTTCTTTCTTAATCTGTGTGCGCGGTGCAACGAGTGCAGCAGCTTCGCTTCGTTGGAGATGTCTTTTGTTCTTCTGTCAGCGCCAAGCTCGGCACAGCTTTGCGTGCCAGAGGCAGCAAAAGCACTCGGGCTCCTGGCTGCTCATGGTGCTGCAACTGTACACATGCCATTTGTGCTATGCGAGGGTGTGACGTGAAGGCACAGTTCCACCGTTCTCGACCAAGTTGCCGTGTCCTTGGGCCCTCAGGCACCTGAGCGCCTGCCTGTACAAATACCAGACCTCTATGTTTCGGACGGCCTCTGAGCACGTCCTGAGCCACGGCCCTTGTCCATGGGGTCGACTGCTCTTTCTTTACAGTTTCGCAGCACTCGGCCTCGAAATGCATTCAGCCATCAGACAGCTCCACCTGAGTTCGTGCAAATTATGGGCCATGTCACGGGCATGTTGTGATAGCCAGAATGCCACCGCTGCACACGACAATACAAAGCCGCAGACCAACCATGCTGCGAGAGCTCACATTCCTAGTCAAATCCTCGAAGCTGGCGATGCCCTCTCTCACCTGAAAGCGAATCTGCCAATACTCTGCCAAACGGTCAGGAAATGTTACAGTGGCAATGTTAAGGCGCACTCAGGCACTGGCCAGCGAAGGTGTGTTGGGAACGACATCCGTACACGTCACCTCAGTCTGATCTACTGAATCTACTGTTCCTGGCACCCCATGGCCCAAGTAGCTAGTAGCCAGACGTAGAGCGGAGGATACAACCAAGCACTGTGACTTGTCACCAAGCAAGGCGGTTTGGTTCTCTCGTCGCAGGGCAGTTTGGTTTCGGGGAGGGTTTGTTGTGCGTAGAGCGGATCACCACGCCCAGAGGGTAGGGGGTGCTCCTGTCTTGGACATGAGAAACAGCACTCGTCGTGCTGGTGCAAGTCGGAGTGGCCAAGGTGCTCAAGATTCCCGAAACCGAATCCGAAGCGTGAGGAGTCTGATGCGGTCTTCTTTCCGAGATTCAACACCTTCATTCTGTACAAGAGTCGCTGTACACCAGGCGGCCAAAGGGGCCCTCCAGCATCCTGTTTTGGACAAGGCGCGTTCGCCCAAGACGAGCGGAAAGGCGGGGAGGACGTGGCTGAGGCCCATGAGGGCAACAAGGTTTTAAGTTTGGGCGGCATGATGTGGCATGGCTAACAAGAAACCTAAATCAATACGGTGGGGGCCATCTTGCCACGCTTTGACCAACTCACTTTCGAAGTGTGGAGCCTCCTGTCCATGATGCCGAGTAGCCGATGGCCTATATGAAGGCAGCGAATGCTGCGGAACTAAACACATTGGGGCCGTGACTACCGCCTCAAACAGCTGGAAGCTCAAAGCGAGTGCGGCAAATTGGGCATGCGCCTCCTGCAGTGTGCGAAAGAGACCAGATCATAATGCATTCCCTGTGGTAGATATGCCCGCACGGCAGGACAGCAACCTCACTGGAAGGCACGAAATCCTCCAAGCAACATGCGCATGTCTTGTCCTGCGCTACCTTGCATGCAGGCAACATAGAGGTGAGGCCTCCGTCTACGAACTTTCTATCCAACCCGATGTAGACCTTGCAGAAAGTGGACACAGCTTCAGCCAGGTCCTGGAATGCACAGGAAGCCCATACCAGGCATCTTTCCCCTTGTGCACTTTCCGTCCGTTGCGGTTGGCTTTCTTCTCGCCGCTCTAGACACCTTTCCACACTTCTTTGGGCAAGAACGGCCAAAATGACTAGGCCGCCCATCAATGTGGGAAGCAGCCCTGCCGACCTCCGAACAGGTCCAGCACTTGGTCCAGCATCAAGACGAGCTGAAAAGAACATGTCCACGAAGCCGAGTAGCAGAAGGCACGCACCGAGAATCACCCACATTGCTGAAAGCCTGCCCTCGACTCCGACTCGCACCATGGCAGGTTCCCCTAATAGCGGTCAGCCTGCTCATGATACTTTGAGCCAGGAGCAGCGATGTGACACTTCGGCGCGCTTCAGTGCACTTTGGCCTTTTGAATCTGTCTCCTGCGAGAGTGCCGGACCAGGAACGGGTTCTTTTCTGATCTTTTCTGTGTGTTTAGTCGTCACAGCTTACCATAAGATCAAGTTCGAGGGTAACAGTGTTTCAGACAGAGCACAAAAATCATGCATGGAAGCCCTGAAGGTCTGGGGCATGGGAGGCCTCCTGTAAGACAATGTCTTTTGTGCCCCTTCAGCTTTATGCTTGCTGTCCAGCCGGACTGAGGATTCTGCACAGCTTTAATGCCACCCCGGCCCTGTTTGAGAGTCCTGCTGCCAGAGCCCTAATCTCTAAAAACCTTTGCAAAAACAAAAACGCGCCCAAGATGCCCCAAAGACCATGTTTCCCAAGACAGGCATTGGGCGACGTCTATCGAGGTCTAAGTGACTTTGAGGTCGGAAGCCTCCAAAGTAGAGTTCTACGCGGCTCTGATGCACTGCAAGTCGCTGGGGAACAGTCTTGCGCCATGAGCGGCTCGCTCAAATCGCCAGAAGATGCGCGATCACCATACATGGGGTGCGGTCTCAGATCTCTCCTCGCGCGAGTCTGGGAGTCACAGTTGGCAAAGATGAGTTGTAAGACATGTAGACTCACGAATAAGCAACCGTGCACAAGACATAAGAGCTGCCTGAGTTGCACGCGCTGCATGCAACAAGAACTTTCTCTGCTGGTGGATGCCTGAAGATCTGGACGCTAAGGAAGATGGTTAGAAAGACGGCCTGGGCGCAGCTGCAAACTTCGTCGCAGTTCCGTTCCTTTCTTGTATGATCCGGGAGTGTTGAGCTTCATTGCAGCCAGATGGCCATCTGACAGCCGTAGAGCAGCCAAGTGCGTGGAATGGGACCCTGCCAAGGAGAGAGGCGCGAGCTGGCAACACTTCAACAACACTCACACATGTAACTATGCTCCAGTCAGCAATCGAAAAAACGTGAGAAGCTTGAACAGGTGCTTGAACAGGTGCACAGGATTCACGGTCAACAAGTTCCAAATCACGCAAGGTTTTGTGCAGCTGTCTTCTGTCTTCGAGAACGGACAATACCATCCAAAAGCACCCAAACGTTTTAAGAATTGGAGGCCGAGCGCTCTCGGGACTCCGAGACGATTCGAGGATGCATTGAACTTTGGAACTTTGGCCTGGTAGACAAAGGCAAAATCTGCTGCACGAGAGGGCGATGGCAGCTGCAGAAGCTCCTGGAGCTCACCAAGCAGGGCTCTGATTCATCGGCGTTTCGTGCCATGACATGCTATTTCCATATTGTCAGAACATGGGAAGCTGTCCACGAAAAGGAAAGGCCCGATGATTCGCGGAACAGCACCGATCGCAAAGAGCAAGCCCATGTAGGCCTCAGGTGCGCAGAGTCTCACACAGAGGGTTACACGGAGGTTCTAAGTTCCCACAAGTTCCCACAATCCAAATTCAGTTCTCCAGCCTGTAGGCTCAAATGGAAACTAAAGTATCACCCGTAAGGCCCAGACAAAAACCAGACAAACAGCAGACGAAACAAAGCAGGCGTTCCAGGTGCTGGGGGCTCTTTGCCAAACAAGAAAAACAAATTTCGCATCATCCCAACCCACGTGCGTAGCCCCTCATGCCCCTCAATCACTAACAAGATAGCAGGACATGAGCAACGGCGCCCGGTGACTCACTGGATCAAGGGTGAACCAAAGGTTGACTCAGCATAGCTTGGTTCACTCACTTCGATTTCCTTTTCTTTCGTGCGACAAGGCAACCGCTTTGGGATGAGGACCAATGATCTGCGTCATCAGCGCTATTCCGGGTCCACGTGCGAGGCCTCCGAAAAATGCCTCGAGAGCTGCTGTTCGAGCGCAATAAAACTGCCAGGATGCGAACATTGAAAACCCGCCGAGGGGCACCGAGCAAGTAGTCCACCACAAAGCGGCCAGCAGGCAGGTAGCCGCCAAGGTCCATGTTGCCAAGGTTCACCATCACCTAAAGCATTTCGACTGCCCATGCAAGATAACGCATAGAGCGCTCGCATCTGCACCATTTGCTTTCAAGCTTCTGACACAGCGTGGCTTATGGTGATGGCGACGACTTCGTTTCGATATATGTATGGACCCAGGCAGAATGACATCAATGCGGCCATGGCCTTGGCGAGGTGCACACACAGATTTATGCTTCAGCATCGCTGATGCCTGATAATTCAACCGCCCTCGTCAAGGACCGGGCGAGGCTCAGAACACCGCCGCAGCTGAGCAGTAGGTTGACGTAGATCTGCTTGGCCTCAAAGAAGCGAAAGACATTCCAAAGGCATTCCTTGCTTGGGATCACCGCAGGCCTCGAAAGGGCACTCGGCTGGGTTCAAGCACGGGCCCCACCCATAAAGCCTGCACGGCTGTCGGGGCAAGATCCAGGTATTCACGTCCTGTACCTTTTCAACACGCGGCCTCTGCGCCAGAACCGGAGTAATGGTCTCCAGACTAGCCATGTTCAGGTTCGCACCGAAGAAGATCATGTAGCAAACCTCAGCCACTAGTTAGGTAAGGCGACGGCATTCCACGATGACGGGGAGACGGTGCATCCTACTGAGGGTGCCCAAAAGAATCATCCGAGCAAGAAAGAGAAACTTATTCCTTAACAAAACTATGCACAGCATGCCGCTAGCCTGGCAACCAACAGTCCACGCTTGTTCGGTGGCTGGCCCAACTTTCGGCGTTGTGACTCTGAAGCTTGAAGCGTTGGCTGACTGGATTTGCCTCATCAGGGAATCACCATGTCCCTTCCCCCTCTTGTTTACCTCCTGCTGCCCAAAACGGCTTACTCTCGTCTAATCTCCGGGCACTTCGGTACCCACAGCTGGCCCGCAACCCCAATTCTCAAAGCATGCAATGCCAGGCCTGGCTCGACATTGAAGAATCGCCATGACATGAGCATGTTCATGATGCATACCTTGTCAAGGTGTCTAACACTCCTCAATGCCCAGATACCTTCCGAAAACCATCAAGCCCATGTCATTTTGGCCTGACGCGGTGCCGACCAGCGGCTAGGAGTAGCACTACTCCGGGACCATTGTTTCCATCCACGGTGAAGCCCAGCAGCTTCCAATCGACAGCTTGCAATGGTGCACCCAGCGCGGGCCCCATCATGATGCCTGCTAGGTTCGGCTTCGTGGCTTAGGAAGTGGGAGGGCCTCAGTGCAGAATTCTTATGACGAGTGGCCTGTGATTCCACAGCTTGATAGCCGCGATGAGCAAGATGTTTGGTGCTGCACAGGAATTTTGCTTCCGATGAAGGTCTGCTCGATCGTCTGCACGGGTTGCGCGTTCAAGGCTTGTTTAACAGCTGGCGTAGGTGTTAATTTAAGAGCCATTGATTTTCTTCGATACCAGAGTGCGAAGCCAAACTTAGGGCAAAACACAGCGAAAAATGCTAATTATTCGTGCTTCTTCGCTGGCCTCTCTCAGAGGGTCCTCCCCAAAGGGCCCCTCGCGTGCCTCGTCAAAGCACCTTATGCCTGAAAATCGTTTCAACACCCCCCCAACCTGTCAAACAGACCGCCCCTTCTGCTGCACAGGCGAAGGCGCATTGTGCCCTTGCAGCTTCGCGCGAACTCGGTCCAGTGTGGGGTGGGGGCGAGAAAGAAGGGATAAGCATCTTGCTTGAGCGCAAGTCGCAAGTTGCAAGAATCTGAACGCGACAGTCCAAGCAATCATTGAATCAAGATTGCATACAGTTTTTGCCCTTCGTACCCCACGGCAGCACCACACCTCAAAGTCCCAATCGTGTGGTTTCAGTGCAAGCAACTTATAGGCAATGGGCATCTGAAAGACGACCCGTGAGTACGGCAGCCAGCATTCACATACATTAAAGAAGTTGAGAAGAAAGGGGCGGGGTTTGCTTGACAGACGCAGGTCGAACAAAACGGTGGTTCTTCTTCCAGACCATTGACGCGAAGAAAAAAACCTCCCACGCCTCTGTTCAATGTGTACGGGGTTTGGGGGAAAGCCGCTTTGGATGCACCCCCCCCTCGCCCCCAACTCGTGCTGTTTTCGAGAACGACACAACGGGGCACATGCAGAATAGACGCCAAGCGTGCAAGGCACCTCCCCGCAGCCGCCTCGCCCTCCTCCTCCCTCCCCCAGCACTATCGACCAGGTTTTCGCTTTCCTCTTGCCATTCCTTTGATAGTTTTGCGAGCCCCCGCTCCTCCCTCCCCACCCCCCCACCCCCCTACCTCCTTTCCGAGGGCGTGTAGTTTGCCCAGGTTCTTTTCTCCTGTCAGCCTCGTATTCGCATCCAACCTTACTTGCCTTCTTGCCCTTGCCTTACCTTGGCCGCCTTACCAATGGGGTACGTCCTGCCGCCTCTTCGTCGACGGCAGCCCCGGCCAAGGCGGGTCGCGTAGCACTATAAAATTGTTGGCTTTATAGGATGTGGTTGGACCTCCTTCTGCTGTCGGCTTTGAGCAGCACTCCTTCGCACATGCTCGGCCTGGCGAATTCCGTTGTCGACGCCAGAAAAGAAGCGGGCCACCAGGACAACATAGGCAGCTGCCGTCCCAAAGACCGGTGCCACCACCTCATGCTAAGCTTTTGTTTATGTGTCGAGGACAGACTTCTTTGTCTGGGTCGAACGTTTACAACGATTTTGAAGCCAGGTCGCATAGAAAAGTGCAGCCATCAAGCCCAATGACATTCCTCCCAGCAGGAGGGTCTTTGGATGCTCGGGATGTCGATGGTAGAGCCAGCCGCTCGTCCATCCTTTGCAGGCTGGCCAAAAGAATCTCCTACCACTGCACTGGAGGCTCCACAAAAAGAGCCTAATCCTCAATTTTGTGGTTGTTCGACGCGTTTGTCCTCCCAATCCCTCGCCGATGCTGTAGGCTGCCACGACTGCGGCTAGAAATTCCGCGGAGGCATTCATCTGTCGTAGGTATGGCCACAGTGTGGGCAAGACAATCGAGAAGCCTGATCAGGGTGCCGGGTATCGTGGAGGGTGCTTCTGCTAAGTAGTGGGCTGGTCAGTGGACATAGATATAGCTGCCTTATCAGGATACACAGAGCGCCTGCGCATCCAAAGAACATGTTGCTGAAGAAAACGATGAGCCAAGTTGGCATTGGCGGGCTCTCATTGCCTCGGCAGGTCAGGATCGCAGTTTCATGAGGATGCCATCCTAAAAGCTCTGCCATCGCGCCTGCGAGACTCATGGCTCTTTATAGTCTATACGACTGGTCGAAACGTCAGGAAAGAGAGTCATGCACTTATGTTCGATGATGGTCGTACGCACAAGGACAAGCTGAAAGGTCTACAGTATGCATCTTTCTCAGAAGGTTTTCATACGATCTCTTACAGTCAGATGATCTGCGGGCGCTAGCTGCTGACTAAAGAACAGGTTTCGGAGCCAAAGATTTTCCAAGGTCGCTGGCATCTGACTCCCGATTACGTGCCTGAAGAAGAAAGTGTTGATACTTTGGCTGTGAGTTTCTGTGGCGCCTCATGTGTGCATGGTATGTTTTCGTCGCATCCTCCACGCATGTTTTGGCCTGTGCACTATCAGCCCAGCCCCAGCCGAGTCCATCTGCACAGCCTTCAAATTTGGGGTCTCGGTCGATTTCGGTCGGAAGTTGCAGCCGAGCCTTCGGTCGAAGCTTCCCAGAAAGAAAGCATAGCCAGGGCCGGAGCCACGGGATGAGGCCACGTGATGTCATGTGATGCAATGTAGTGCCCGTCTTCAGAGCCGGAGGACAGGAGCGCCAGGTGGGGGGGATAGCACAGGGCGGGCTGGTAGTCAGAGATCTCCTCAGTTGCATCTGCGCAGCCACCGCTCAGGGCTTGAGTTGTGAAGGCCGTTGAGGGTACGCCGCAAGGTATCTCCATCTCGCCGCTCAAACCCATCAAACCGTGGCAGGGAAGTGCTGCACGCCGATGGGGTGACTGGGCTTCGGCTCTTCGGGTGTCTGATTCCCAAGGTGTCGAAGCCCGGTCAAGCGGTCTCCTGGACCAGATTCTCTGCCTGGGCCAAATGCAATGAAGGATGACAGTGCCTTCAGCTGATCGCAAACTTCGGGAAGGCCTCCGCCAAGAGGGAAAGCTTCGGAGAGATGCCAGCAGTCTGTGCCTTGAGCACGGCAACTGCCGCGAGGGACCCAAGACACGACGACGCGACACACATCAGTGCCTCGAGGATGCAAAGGCGCATCGCGTCAGGACAGCGGTTCCTACCAGCAAGCAGGCTCACGTTTACGAGGGTATTCTGAGAGGAGTCCTGACGGCAATTTGCAGTGCCATTCGGACCTGCACGCCCGCAGCAACGGCAAAAGCTCTCGTTGGCCCGAAAGCTCGAACACTCTCGAAGTCCGTCAAGGAAAACTCAATACTGCAACTTATCATAGGACGCACCTCGTCCCACACTCGTACAGCCTGAAGCTGGCTGCGGATCATGAATGCAAAAGTATGCAGTATGGAGATCTTCGGTGGAATAGCTGTACAGTAGTCCAGCTGTTGAACCTTGGCAACCGCCTCAGACCTCAAAGGCTTAAAGTATGTCGCTCTGAGCCAAAAGAAGCCCGCCCCAAAAAGCCTTCAAGCAGCCCTGAACCCCTGACCCATAAACACTCCGAATTCAGAAGCCTCAGCCCGTGCAAAGTCATGCAGGGTCAATGTGTCCTTCACTGGGTGCCCGGGCATTCTCCGCCTCTTTGCACACCAGCTGGCCTCCCTTGACCTGGGACATAACCACACAACCACAGAACCCACAGAACTCACAGAACCCACACAACCCACACACCCACACAACGCACACCACACACCACACACCCACACAACACACACCAC